CGATTCGCATTTCATGTCCGTGGGTACGAGTCCACGGCTAACGGATTTGAAAGTGTCATAAATGAATTTCGTGGCCGGATAACTGTCCATGACGATAGAGAGAAAATTCGAAGCAACTGTCCCCCTCTAGCAGCAGTAGTAGTATCAGGAGTGTATCAATATATATTATATATTATATTATTATTATTATATTATATTATTATATATATATATATATATATTGATACACTCCTGGTAGTATAGTCGTATGCGTAATGGTTGCTATTTTAGAAATCGCAAATTGTCACCAATTATGTTTCGCATAGAAATGCCAACGTTGTTTCTCTAATTCGGGAAGTAATTTCGAATTCAGACTATACGCTTGCCATAACATCGTTAATTAGAGAGATATTGTTTTTTTTGCACAGATCCGTGCATAAACTATATCGCTCGATGTAAACTCGATGACGTCAGAAAAAGGTCTCATTTCATCATGGCCCGGCATATGTAATTGATATCTCTCGATCGCATCACGCACGCACGCACGCACGTACGCATGCACGCACACACACACACACACACACACACACACACACACACACACACACACAAACAAACAAACGTAATCATACATGCACCCACGCATACACGTACGCATACGGACGCAAACATATATGTACGCACGCTTAGGAGCTGCGCGCACGTGGAGGGGAGGAACGCAGGAACGTCATGGCGACGGTATAGACACAACTCTTCATTTGCGACTGCTGTCGTTTGCTTAAGTTATTACCGCCGGCCGACAACGGTTCAAAGCGTCAATAGCATTCACTTTATGACAGCGCGTTGGGTGATTATTTCACCGTCAAAGCCGCCGTGAGCGTTTCCATGGATACGCGGCGCGAGTGTGTGCGTTGCGGCATCAACGTTTTGTCGGAAAAGTTACGTGATCGCTTCGGGTCGGCATTACGTGACAACCGCCGAGCACGCGAGAACACGCGAGAACACGCCGCGAAACGGAGAATGGACGCACGCGGGTTAGGGGATCTTGTGATGTAACGTCTCTCTATAGACGTGGTCTTCGCTGCGCCATTCATTCCCGTTTTTCGGTGCAGCTACGGCTTTAAAAAACAAAAAAGGTTTACTCTTAACACGCACACGCACGCACGCACTTATGCAGACACACACACACACTCTCTCTCATCTTCTCTCGCGTCTCTCCTCTCTACTCTGCATCTCCTCTCTCTCCTCGAACACAAGCCACACACACCACACACATTTCTTATTCTATTCCTCACGCGCAGCACGCACACCGCAACGCACAACGTCACACGCACACGCACACCTCACGCACGGACGCAGCACGTACACACATCACAACGCACACACACCCCACATATATATGATATATATATATACTTTATATATATATATATATATACGTATATATATATACACACACACAGACACCCACACACACATGCATATATATATATATATTGCATTGGCTGATTTCTAAATTGGATTTAAAGAGCACTGTTGTATGTATTTCATGAAAACATACTTTGCGTGCCTCCCCCTCCCTCTTTCTGTCGGTAACATCCCAGTTGGCCTACTCCCATTTCGCCTACACCCATTTCGCCTACGTCCCATTTCGCCTACGTCCCATTTCGCCTACTCCCATTTCCTCTACTCTCAGAATCGGCAATATTTCCATTTCGCCTACTCCCATTTTACTATGTCCCATTATACTCCCATTGTATGTTCCTATTTTGTGTCTCCATTTTTGTCAAGTTGCGTTCTCATTATTTGTACCTTTTTTTTCTTCTGGTTCCTGTAGTCTATATGTATGCCAATCAAAACCATATTTTATTATTTATAAATGACTATTTAGTGAACAAACCGATCGTAGACGAAATGGGAATGAGGTAGATTTTGAGCGTAGACGAATTGGGAGTAGGCGAAATGGGTGTAGGTCAACTGGGAATTTTGCTGTAGGCGAAATAGGAATTTTGCCGTAGCCGAAATGGGAGTAGGCCAACCGGGAATAAACCTTTCTGCCTATATTTCTGTCTGTTTGTCAGCCTGTCTGTCCGTCCGTCTGTCTGTCCGTCCGTTTCGCTGAATGTCTATCTGTCTGTCTCTTGGTCCGTCTGTATGTATTTATGTATGTATATGTGTATATCCATCTCTCGGACCGACTCTCTGTCTGTCTGCCTGTTGGTTAACGAACAGTAACAAAGTTAACGAATGTAGCAGAAAACGAAAAATATATACGTAATCGATTGGATTTCTACCCCCATGCACATATTCGTCGAATTTCGCCGAAAAGGTCAGGCAAAACCAGTTGCGCGCTTCTTTCTATGCTTCTTCTACATCTTCACGCGTCGACCTTTTTCTGAATGGGAGACCCCGATACTAAGAAAGAAAAGAAGTCTGTTACACGGGTGGATGAGGTTCCATCTATTCGAAATATGTGTCCTGTTTTAGCTTTTAGCTAGCCGGGGGTGTGGGGACCATCCGATTGATCGCATAGCTGAAATACTCGCGCTGTTGAACGTCGCATCTCCGCGAAAAACATCTCAGATGATTGGTCTTCTCCTCCACGCAAATAACACACACACACACACACACACACACACACACACACACACACACACACACACACACACAATCAATCAATCAAACACACACACTCGCACACGCATATATATATATATATATATATATATATATATATATATATATATATCAGGAGTTAATAAAGACAAAGATAAGATTTGTCTTTATTAACTCCTGGGCCGGTTTCACGAAGTGTAATTAAGTCCTTAATCATGATTAAATCACTAATGATGATTAACTTCCCGTACTTAAATTGAAGTGACTGGTTTACGAAGCGTAATTAACTTTAATCATGATTAAGTTAATCACAATATTTAATTCTACTCAGGAGCATGATTAAATCAACTAATCATAATTATTTGCTAGTACTAGTATAGTAGTAAGTACGCTGCAGATTTTACAATTGGAAATTTTACTTGAATTTTTCCAAGGAAATTTAAATTATCTAAGATTAGCTGTACTAATTTAGTCATTATAATTGCAAATGAATTCCTTTTCATGTACCGAATTTGCAGATACTTTTGGCGTTGTCCGCCATTTTGAATACAGTGTAATTCATGTTTAAGTCGGCTAATTATGTGATTAGTTAAACATGTACTTAAATCGCTTTGTGAAACAGATTTTTAAGTATAATTAACTAATCATAATTACAGAAGGTTAATTATGATTAGTGATTTAATCCTAATTAAAGTTAATCACGCTTCGTGAAACCGGTCCCTGGTATATATATATATATATATATATACGTTCATTAGCTGAGAATCTCACTGGATGTCACGGTCGTGAGCATATGTGCAGGATTAAGTTCTCGGCATGTGTAAAAAAAAAACAGAGAGAAAATACAGTGGCGGTCGAAAGAGCTATTCTATTCACGCTTTTATTCCTGGACCAGCCTGGGATATTCGTGGTGGGGATCGTGTAGAAGCAACAGGAGCAGCAACAGCAGCAGCCTACCTAGGCGCATGCTTGCTACGGCCGTAGCTTTTATCGTACCTGCCATTTCCTTTACTCCTTACCCCTTCATCTCAATCTCCGACGTTTTGTTCCCTTCCTTACTCCTCGCTCTCTCTACCTTTCTCTCTCGCTCTATCTATCTCTCTCTCTCTTTCTCTTTCTCTCTCTATTTCTGTCTGCCTGTCCCTGTCTCTACTTTTTTGCCCACCCCACTCTCACCAGCAATCTTCCATCATTCGGTTCTCCTCATCGCGCTCTCTCTTCTGCTCCTCTCTCGGATCTCTCTTCTCTCTCTCTCTTTATCTCTGCTCGTCTCTCTCTCTCTCTCTCTCTCTCTCGCTCTCTCCTCTCTCTCTCTCTCTAGCTTCACTCTCACTCTCCTCTCGTCTCTCTCCCGCTCGTCTATCTCTATCTCGTATCTCATGTCTCTCTCTGCTCCTCCTCTCTCTCTCTACTCTCTCTCTCTCTCTCTCTCTTCGCTTCTCTCTCTCTCTCTCTCGCTCGCTCTCGTCTTCTTTCACTGTCTCCTCTCTTCGCTCCTCTCCTCTCTCGAGCTCTCTTCTCTCTCTCTCTCTCTCACCTCTCGCTCTCTCTGCTCTCTTCTCTCTCATCTCGCTTTCTCTGCGACTCTCTCTCTCTGTGTCTCCCTCTCTCTCTCTCTCTCCCTTTCTCTATCCCTCTCGTTCTCCCTCTTTTTTCTTTGTCGATTTCTTCCCAATTCCCATCATCTAATTATGTTTATTGATCAATTATGCATGTGCCTCGGCGAGCTATGCATCCATCGGTGTATTAGGCGTACCAGCACAGCGCCGCATGCATGCATCATGCATGATATATACTGACGAAATCGTACAGCACTTTAATTAATATGCTCTAATGCGACAGTGATTCGATTCAGCTTCTCCCCAGTTTGCGCGTACTACGCTTTTTTGACACAGGCTTTGCATCGTTACAGTGCGTCGAACATGACGTGCTACGCCCCCATTCTTCTATATATGCGATATCGTATATTCTCTTCTATATACGCGCGCGAAATGTATTCCGTTAATCCGTCGCGATGCATTGCTCGCGGCTAAAAAATAGACGTTGTTATTGTTGAAGAAAAGACGCGCGAAGAAAGGACGCACGGGTGAAATGACGCGCGTGTAAACGACTCATAGGTAGATGACGCAAGTGGATACCGCAAATAAATGACGCACGTGTAATCGACGCATAGGTAGATGACGCAGGTGTATAACGCAGAGAAATGACGCACGCGTAAAACGACACCCGGTTCAGAGACGCACGCGAACAAATGACGTGCGCGCAACTAAATGACGCATTGCGCAAATGACGCACGGCCGAATGACGCACGACCGAATGACGCACGACCGAATGACGCTCGACCGAATGACGCACGGCCAAACGACGATCTAATCCGATCCCGTCTCTTTTATCTCGCGGTGCAGGTACAAGACCCAGCCGGTGACCTTTGACGAGATCAAGGAGGTCGACGAGGACAACATAGCCGAGGACAGCGCTGGCGCGACGCCCAGCGACCGAGTCAAGGAACGAGCCGAAATGCTGAAGAAGAAGCTCTCCGAGTTCTCGCGCACGATGGAGGAGCTGGTTAACACTCGCTTCGAGAACCCGGAGCAAGAGGGCGCCACTGACGTCATCACCGAGATGAGCGCACAGGAGCGCGCCCACCGGCAGGCGCGAGAGCGCCGGAACCGGGCGCGCAACCAGAAGAGCGCCGACGCTTCCGGTGCGGCGAGTTCGAGTTCCGACGCCAGCTGAGATTTTTGCCCCCGCGCGATCTCCTGTTTTTATTCTATCTCTCTTCTCCTCCCCCCTCTCTCTCTCTCTCTCTCTCTCTCACTCGCCCGCGTGCGCACGAGGAAGAGAGAGAAAGATGGAGAGAAAGCTGAAGCTATATCGCGCTGAGTTTCCCGGTGATTCTCTCGCGGTGCAGCGCTTATACATTCGCTGTTTACATTACGCTGCTGCAATTCTAGGCGCGGTGCCCGCGTGCAGAGAGAGAGATACGCGATGCCGCAGTGTAAACACGCAGCAGAAGCTAACCGGACACAAAAACAATTCGATTTGACAGATGGCGTCGCGATAGCCGCGCGCGCGCATGCGTCGTGCACGTGCACGCGCGCGCGCAAAAAAAAGCGCGAGCTGGAGAAGTGTCGGGAAAATAATGGATACTTTTGAACAGTGTGCGCCGTGCACCAATTCGGTGCGTATGTACAGCAGATGCAGGAGCGGATTCAGAACATTGAAGGTCGAGGAGAGATGCATGGTGGGAAGATGCCGTAAATGTTCTTATGTGCCGAAGATTTCCGATGATGTACGATGTTTGTTGTTCGGAAGAGTGCGCCTGTAAGGAAATGCGCGTGAATGCGTCGCTGGGTGTACACGGTCTTGTATGGATTATTTATTGAAATGCCCGCGAATAGTACGTACGGATGTAAATCGTTGGTTGATTCGTGTGCTTGTGATGAAGCGTCTAGTTCGGATCTATATATGGCTTCAGGAAAAACGAACCGGTTTAAACTTCTACAGACACGTATGCACGTATGCACGCACGCACACGCGCGTACGCACACGGACGCTTACCCACCCACGCACACACACGCAGTGGCGCGTAGCTAGGCATTTTTCTGCGGGGGGGGCACTGGGCGGGGGCCTTACATTTCGTCGGGGGCGGCACTTATATAACTTTTCTTTGTATTTAGTTCTAACGGCATTGTTTTTAATTCAATTTTTTTATCAAGCATGAATTTTCAGTGGGGGCGACCTGGCGGGGCCACGGAGATAAAATGTTGTTGGGGGGCTACGTGCCCCAGGCCCCGCCCCTACGCTACGCCGCCACACACGTTACACATCACACACACACACATCACGACACACACACACACACACACACACACCACACACATAATTCTACAGGAGTAATTATACCGTTACTGGTCTATAATCTGGCCGCGACTCTCTATGATTATGTATATGACTTGGATTGACATCTCTGTCCCACCATGCTGTTTTGATGCCTGCATAGTGATGGACATCTAACCGCTACCATGTTTCTATCGTTGATTATCACATGATTTCAAGAAATAATATTGCATAACAAACATGATGCAATGGGTCTTTTTTCGTACAAAACGATCGCGTAAGGGGTTGTCATCGACGGACGGCATTTTTTTAGGAAACGAAGGTTTTGCGCTGAATAGACGAGGCGACGTTGAAGAGAATTAACGAAGTCTCTCAAAGATTGGCGAGCGAAAACTAAAAACACCTATTAGTGAAATTAGCCTGGTTATAATAAATGATTTATAGCCAAAAATAGCGCTACTTCTTACACCAGGCTTAGGGCTCGTGGGAAATAATCTATGTATCGTCTATTGATTGTTTTGTATATTGCATATTGTAATTTTTGGTTATTTAATCTGTTATCCAGCATGCTTACGATTTAACAGCGTAAACGAGGCAATGGGTAGAAGGCGAGTGCAGGCACAGAGACAGGCGAACGTAGCTACGAGTAGTAGACTAGCGCAGAGACGAAAGTCAGGTAAGCACTAGTGATTGCAGATAGAGGAGGCAGGCAGGCAGGAGGCCAGCAGGCCGGCATCGAGGCCAGCAGCAGCAGGAGGATAGCGGACGTAGGGAGGTAGGGGCAGGGAGGCCAGAGGCACGGCAGGCGAGCCAAGCGGGCAGCAGCGGAGGGAGGTAGGAGTAGGGAGCGTAGGGAGGCCAGCAGCCGGCCGAAGTAGGGCCGTAGAGAGGGTAGGAGGCAGGAGGCCAGCAGCGCGGCAGGGAGGTAGGCGACGTAGGAGGTAGCGGAGGCGCAGCAAGGCCGCAGGAGAGTAGCGGAGGCAGGGAGGTAGGCGAGCAGCGGAGGCAGCAAGGCGCAGAGAGCGTAGGGAGGCATGCACAGGCCGCGCAGGGGAGGTAGTAAGCGAGGCAGCAGGCCGGCAGGAGGTAGGGCCAGGCATGCCGGCAGGCGCAGACAGGGGTGGTAGGCAGCCAGGAGCAGCAGGCGCAGAGGGTAGGAGAGCAGCAGCGCCGGCAGAAGAGAGTGAAGGAGTAGAGGAAAAAGAGAGGTAGGGAAGCCAGACAGAGCCGAAAGACCAGGGAGGACCCAGACAAGAGCCGCAAGGGAGGCCAGAGCAGGCCGGATCAGGGAGGGTAGGGACAAATAGGGAACAAGAGAGTAGGAACGAGAAGCCAGCGGCCGCGCGTAAGGGAAGAATAGGGTAGGGAGGTAGCGGACGCCGACGGCAGCAGGCAGCAGGCGAGGTAGGGGCGTAGGACGGTAGGAGGCAGGCGAGAGCAGGCAGGCAGCAGGGGAAGGCCAGCACAGGCCAGGACAGGAGGCAAGGGGAGCGCCAGCCAAAGTGCCGCAGGGAGGCAGAAAAGAGCCAGAGGAACAAAAACAAGGGAAGGGTTAGGGAGGCAAGGGAAGGCCAACGCATCAGCCGGACAGGGGAAGGTATAGGACGAGAAAGCAAAGACAAGCAAGGGAGCGCCACGCCAGCCGGCAGAAGAGTGAGACGGAGTAGGCTGTGCCGCCAGTCGAGCAGGGCAGGCAGCCGCAGGAGTAGCAGGAGGCAGGTAGGCAAGCAAGCAGGGAGGTAGGGAGGCAGAGAGGCCGGGAGGCAAGCAGGCAGACAGGTAGGGAGGCAGGGAGGCAGGCAGGCAAGCAGGCAGGGAGGCAAGCAGGCAGGGAGGTACGCAGGTAGGGAGGCAGGCAGGCAAGCAGGCAGGTAGGAAATAAGGTATGGAGGCAGGCAGACAGGCAGAAAGGTAGGCAGAGGGGCAGGCAGGCAGGCGAGCGGGCGGACAGGCAGGCAGGTAGGTAGGCAGAGGGGCAGGCAGGCAGGCAAGTAGGAAAGAAGGTAGGGCGCAGGCAGGTAGGAAACACGGCAGGGAGGCAGGCAGACAGGAAGGAAGGTAGGTAGGCCGGTAGGCATGTAGGCAGGCAAGCGAGCGGATATGCACGCAAGTAGGTAGGCAAATAGGCAGGCAGGCAGGCAGGCAGGAGGGGAAGTAGGCAGGCAGGCAGTTTGAAAAGAAGATAAAAAGGCATGCACCCAGGCAGAAAAGTGAGCGGGCAGACGGATAGGCGAACTGTTATGACCGATGGAATCAAATAAATCATCACTACATCAGCCAATGAACGATCGATGCACCTACACTGTCACTAGCCGAGACAAAACATAATCTAGCCGAGCAGCAAATTAAAGAGCCCGCAGCACAAACCCGTTATGAATCGCCAGAAAAACATATAGCAAACCAGTGGCAAATTAGCGAATAAATCTCGCGAGCAAACTGACGGAAGAAGAATCGAAGGCGAGCAATTGAAGCGACGATTAATTTCGATTAAAGCGCTCAGAGCTGCCAACTATCAAGCCCGATATTACTAGCCATGATTTCACAGCTGTGTCGAAAGTGACGTCCATGACACACAAATTATGGGTATAAACGACTGCAGCAGCGGTTTCCACGGTGATCACGGAGATAGCTCAAGGTCACTTTTACTTTCACTGAACCCCGAGTTAATACCGTGTTGCGTTAACCTTGGAACTCAGGCGTACCCAGCTTGGGTTATTACATATTACCAGGAGCGTATAATGACATTTGTCATTATACGCTCCTGATATTACACGCACGCACACACACACACACACACACACACACACACACACACACACACACACACACACACACACACACACACACACACACACACACACACACACAGGCGCGCGCGCGCAATCCTGATTGCAGGTATTGTTAAAGGCAAGCTGTGGCAGGGAAAACGAGCACCTCACTGGATTTGCCTATACGTCAATCGAACGTATATATCTGCTAGAGTCAGCGTAATGGCAAAATGTCGATGTGTGATATACACGATCAAGAGCTAATCATACATTAATACATTCAGGTATGATTGTATAATTCGTGCTCTTGACACGATGCATCTAGATCTGCATTTGGCTGCATGCCAGTTTATTCCGTGGAAGTTGCTGTTGGTCAAAGGGCGAACACAGCACCATTTATCATTACAATAGTGTGAGAGGGTAGATGAGTTGGCAGAGATGCGAAAGTTGAATTTGAGAGTTTTAAAGGTTTAGAGAACCCATAGAATTGTTGCGTTAGGCAAACGTTTTCAGTTGGCATGCGCATTTCATCTCCTGCCAGAAAAGAACATCGCATCCGCTACACGTCACTACGATTATAGTTATTTAGCCACCAAAAAAAACATCTACGTAATACGAGTAATACGTATTATTATAAACCGTTTCATAACTGCGTTTATTCGCGTACGAAATAAGCACAGCAGTTTCTTTAAAATCGCGAGGAAGTGGCATTGCAGCTGTATGCCTGGCCAGGATGTAGGCAATTCATGAAATTGCACGAAGGAAATAACCGCCGTCACGCTAGCTTTTTTTAATCATGTTGTCGAGCATTTAAAACCAGAATTGTGTGTTGGAGATATTTTACAGTCGCTTTTATCTCTATGTTAGTTCGCGTGTCGTAGAAATACACGAGTCGCCAGTCGATGGATTTACCAGGGTAAAACCGGGGTTACACACACGCGCGCACGCACGCACGCACACACCACACAAACACACGCGCGCACGCACGCACGCACACACCACACAAACACACGCACGCACGCACACACCACACAAACACACGCGCGCACGTGTGCACGCATGTGCGTGATTTTATTCTCGCAAACTCGATTTAGGCTCTTCAAGCGTTTGATCTGTGAAATTCAAATAAGCACAGAAAGAACACACAAGACCAATAAACAATAAACCACAAAGACACCTGTGTGTGACATTTCTCACCACCAACGATGAACAGCGAGACACCTAGATATTGACGCAGTTAAACATTATGTGTGCGCGCGTTCGTGCGTGCGCGCGTGCGTGCGTGCGTGCGTGCGTGCGCGCCTGCGTGCGCGCGTGCGTGCGTGCGTGCGCGCGTGCGAGTCGCGCCGCCTTAGCTGTCCACCTCGCTACTATACGCTGTGTCGGTCGGCGACGACGTGGCGCCACCTGTCTGGCGTCGTATGAATCGCTGCATGGGATAGCCGCGCAGTATCAGGTGCTTCACGGCGACGTCCTCGCACGTCGACGTGCACACGACGCGGCAGATCATGTTTTTCGGCGCCGTCGGAAACAGCGCGCCCAGCCTGCCCATCACCGTCACCGCCGACGCCTTGTTTATCTCCCCCGCCGTCGCTAGATGGTGCTGCTGCTCGAGCTCGCCGAGTTTCTCCCGTATGGCGCGCTTCTGTCGCTGCGCCTCCCGCCAGAGGTCGTTCATGCGTGCCGCGCCGTACGCCATCGCGCGGAACGGCTCGTGCTTGCGTCGCTCGTGCATCGTGAACAGCGACAGCGAGACGATGACGATGGCGAAGACGGCAACGATCGCGTAGAACCAGTAGTCGCGCAGCCAGAGCGACAGCGTCGTCGTGACGAGCGCGTCGACGCGCTGTCGCAGGTCGTCACTGTCGCCCGTCACGCACGCCGACGTGTCGTCGCAAAAACCTTTGTACTCGTTGCACGGCTGACCGTCGCGCTTGCGCGTGTGGTTCCCCTCGAGGCCGATACGCGGCGCTG